CTTGAAACATTTAAACCAAAGGGGAAATTTTTTTGGGAATCTTTTTGCTATAATGTGGACCGCATTAAAAGTTATTAGGGTGGGAGTTGCTTTCTTCATAGGATTGGTTGCTTCTGAGCGTTGAGCCTGATGTGGTCAGCTTTTGTTCAGTGGTTTACTGCTGCGCTTTTTGACTTGGGATCCAGCATCAGCACAGCTTTATATGTGAGGAACAGCTGGCGAAAGAATCGGTCGGCTTTCTTGGCAAGAGTTTTTAAACAAGAGGAGTCTGAGGTGTTTATGTGCCTTCAAATTTAAGACCGAGGCACATGGTTACCAATCAATTTGCAGTGTGTGATATTTGTGGCACCGGTGAGAAACGTTGCCAAAGTTGAGAAGGGAGTTCTTTCAGGGGGGCTGGGCTGGTGTTCTGTCCATTGATTGATGATTGGCATTTATGTGCAACCAGGTTAAACTGGGCGTGTCACTCTGTTGAAGGCTCATGTATGCAAGTTCCAGTTTCATTTACTGATTTACAGCGAAGTTGAGTCTACTTTTAAAGTCACTCTGTCACCAAGCTGAAGGACTAGAAAAGGGCAAACTGTTTTTAATCTATCCTACATTTTTCAGCTTCCCACTGCTTGACTCTGTGAATTTTTGTTTCTTGGGTGACATTGGTGCCTTTTCTTATTCATTTCGTTCCCCTGCCCAAGCTAACTCACGTTTATTCGATGCACTAGCCCCTTGGGAGCGCCCCCCCCGCTCCACCCCCCCCCCCGGTTCCTGCCCTGCCCCTGCGCTCCAACCATCCACAGCTCCCACCTCTTCCATTTGTTGCCATGGCGACTAATGTTGGCGACAGCCCGGCCCTCTGGTTGAAGTGTTTTGGCAGACTCCTCTCCCCGTTTTATGGAGGATGCCAGTGTGCAGATTAACGTGGGCCGACCCACAGACGCTGGCATTTCTTCACAGCTCACTTGGCCTCAGTTCTTTGGTTTAAATGGGTATTGATCTGGATAATGTATTCTGATAATCTGTGTGGTTCCCTGTTCAATCACAGGAGTAGCTGCTTAAAATTTTAGAGGGGTTAAGAGTGGAGCGATAGGGAACGAGGAAAGGCCAGAAGGCATGTAGCAAGGACGCTCAGCCAGAAGGAAGGCAGGCAGGTTGTATCTAATTGCGATATTTTATTTTAAATTGTGATTATTTTCTATTAATTAAACCACAGGTCTGCATTTGTGGTCTAAATGATTAATGGGTATTAACTATTAAACAACATTACTGAATCTAGTTGTATACCACACATCATAGCCTGTATAGAAATCCCCCAGAGAGCTCCAACATTTTTTAATTTGTTACGTATACATCAGGTGGCTTTAAATGAACCAAAAACCTGGTTTATTCTGGCAGGGAAAGGTCTCTGTTAAAGTCAATACTAAAATCAAACATGGCACAGGACATTGCATCTTTAAAACTGCCATTTCTATATAAAAAGGATTATTTTATTTATTGTGTATTT